TAGTTTATGTTCACTTGGCCCTGTTATTTTGGGCCTGTGGCAGCACAATACATCATGACAAGAGTGCATGGTGAAAACAGCATGTTCACTTTAATGACAGTCAGGAAGCGAAAAGAAAAAGAGACTTGTGTCCCAATAGCAATTGTATTTATTTATTTATTTACTTATTTATTTTGGTACCGGGGATCGAACTCAGGTCCTTGCACTTGTGGGGCAGGCAGCAGCACCACTGAGCTAAATCCCCGGCCCAGCAATTGTAAAAATGTACAACCTCAGTGACCTTTCTCCCATTTGTCCCATCCCTCAAAGGTTCTACCACTTCCCACTAGCACCATAGATTGGGGACCAAGTCTTAAGCACCTGGGCTTTTAGGAGACATTTAAGATTTAAACAATAACATATAGCAAAAGAGAAATTATTCTAGTGGACCTAATATAATGACATTAGCTCCTTAAAGTACAGCTTCCTCCTAGCTCAAAGCAAAAGGGAATGTCAGAGCGCTCTGAAGTGTGAGAAGAATTTGATACGCCATTGGTTGCTGTGAAGGCGAAGGGTCCCATTGCAAGGAAACAGTAATGTACTCTTGGAGGTGAGATATTCCCTGGGTCCCAGCAACCAACAGGGACCTTAGCCTACCTAACTGATAGAAAAAGTATTCTACCAAGAACTTGAATGAATTTGCAAACAAATTCTTTCCCAGCATCTCCAGATAAGAGGCCAGCCCAGCTGACACCTTGATTTTTGGCCTTTTGAGACCCTCTGCAGTGAACTCACCTGGACCTCTGACCTATACAACATAATAGGTGGTTTTTAAGCCACTAAATGTGTGGTATTTTGCTATACAGCAGTAGACAAATAATACAAACCAACTATGATTTCATCTACTCTAAGATTATCCAGTATAAATTTTTGCAACAGCTCTGGGCTAATCATAGTTGGAATCAAAATACAGCATCTTTGATAGTCTCATTATCTGCAAGTTAGATAACTATAAAAAAGAGACAAAAGCTACATTTGGTATATTTATTATCTCAAAATATAATATCTTCAGGTATATATCAGCTTTTCACTTTTCAAGTTATTTTCAAATCTTTTGTCTCATCTCATTCTCTTAATATCCTAGTGGGACATATAAGAAGGAAGCTGTAGAAGTCATTTGCCCACAGAAAACAACACTATGGCACTTTAAACTCAATGTTGAGAAGACCTTTCAAACAATTGGAACTGACCCACTGTAGAAGAGGCTGTCTTCTGGAATTACATACTGTGCCTTGCCAGAAGAAGAGGGCTACATAATTTTGCCTAATGGATTTAATGGGAGGGGAGCCTGGCATGGATAAGGCAAAGGCTCACTTTTGAGGCTTCTTCCAGCACTAAAGCTCTACATTTCCACTGGAGCCAAACTAAATTAATCCATTTTTCAGTGAATAAATCAAGATTCATCATTACATGATTCCTAGCCAGTTTTACAATTGCCTTTTTTTTTGTACCAGGGATTGAACTCAGGACCTTGCACTTGCAAGGCAGGCAGCGGAACCACTGAGCTAAATCCCCGGCCCAATTGCCATTGTTTTTGAAACCACAAATTTATCTAAACTCCTTTGTACTAAGAAAATACTATGTGATGAATTGTATTAATTCATTTTTTGTTGTAACAAAGTACTTGAGGCTGGTAAATACCCGAGGGAAGAGGTTTATTTAGCTCATAGTTTGAGGGACTCAGAGTCCATGATTGGCAGCCTCATCTGTTCAATCTCTGGTGAAGACTTCATGGCAGATGGCATTATGAAAGCAGAAGGGATCAGAAGGTGAGACAGTAAGCAGAAGATCAAGGAAGGGCTGATCTTTCTCTTTTTTTAAGAACTTGCTCTTACAAAAACTCTATGAGACCAATATTGACCCCTTCCAGAGCATGTGCACAATAATCTATCTTCTGCTAGGATCCACAGGTTCCACCACTGCCACATTGGGGACTAAGCTTCCAACACATGAAATTTTGAGCAACAAACTGCATTTAAGCCACAGCAAGACCCCAGTGACTTTTTTTTTAAAGACACAAAAAAGTTTTAGTGATTTGGTCAAATCACACAGACACTGAATAATGGAGGCAAGATTTGAAGTCATTTTCCTTGATCCCAGAGTCCTTACCTCCTTAAGCTACCATAGTATCATCTACCAACCCACCTCTAAGAAGCAAGAGCAGACTGAAGAAGCTGGCCAAGTCTTTTAAGAGATGACACTTTAACAAGGCCACTGGGGGCCTCCTGGGTCAGGGATGTGTCAGGAGTACTAGGATGTGCTGCTGGCTCAGCAGCTCAAGCATCTTGGTAACCTCTTCTGTAGCAGAGGAGAATACTGCATCTTTCTTTTCTTTCTGCTTTTCTCACAGCCTGAGCTAAAGCCCTACTTGTCCTGCCTCAGTTTTCAGACTCATTAGACAACCCAGTTTTTCTCCCTGAACCTCAATCTACCTATCCTTAAAACAAGGATGTTGGATTAGTTGACTTTGAAAAATCTCTTCTAGCTCTTGAATTCTATTACTATGGGGGAAAATAATAATATTTTGAAATTTACCCCCAAGTGCGTCGAGATAATCAGAAACTCAGTGGCTGCTCTAAATGAAATTGACACTCAGTTCCAAAGATTTCCTTCTAAGTATTCTCAAACTTTTCTATGAGAAATCTATTTTGTGAAACCTTGCCCTTCTAGGCTTCTAAGACCTTGAAGCTCCTGAGAGGAGGCCTAGGATTGCTGGCTGTAGAGGAGGCAGCTCTAGAATGAGTGGAGTGGAGGGAAGCTGGAAAGTGAATTATCTGGGGGTTGGGACCCATGGTAGGTAAAGGGCTATGGTGGCTCTGAACAGTTCTAGAGGAAACCTGAGGCTTGGAGAAGTAGAAATCATGAGGCTAATCTGGAGCCAGAAACTCAGAGCCCAGGAGGCTGCACATGAGACTGAGAAGATCTAGCTGGGAATATTTGAAAGGAATAGAGGGAGTAAATGGTAACAGTCACCAAGAAAGAAGAGATGAGACCCAGCTTTTTACCTTAACCTTAACTCACCTGACCTCACATCACGGCCTGCTGGTGGTCAGTGTCATATGGTCTACAAGGCAAATGAGGAGGCTGCACTAGTCTGGGTAATGGAGGGTTAAATTTAAACACAGGTCATAACTCCCAGATCAGCTGAGTCAGTGTATTCCATGATACAAAAAAAGCTTGTGATGAAATAATAATTCTGTACAACTCTCCTCTCTGCTTAGGTAGGCAGCTTGCCTTCCTGGGGTTCACTTTCTAAGGATGAAACAGATCAGGGAATTGTGTACTGAATTAAGGAAGACGAATAGTTCAAGTCCTTTCAAAATCATTTTGGTTCTAGGCTCAGTGAAGTCAGTAGAGACCTAGTTACCATCTGGCATAAAAGGCATTAACTTGGTCACTGGTCACCCTGAGACATGAGATTCAGAAACAGAGAGAATTAATCCTGGAAACCAATCAGACTACATATCCTGTAAGAGGAGAGTCTATGTATTGCTTTACTAGGTATTAAAAAGTTAGACCAATCATGCAATTTTTAACAACTTTATTAAGGCATCATTTACATGTCTTAAAGTTCACCCACGCCAAGCATGCAACTCACTGACTTTTAGTAAATATAGAGCTGTGCAGCTAGCACTTCATCCAGTTTTAGAACATTTCCTTCACTCTGTTTGCAATAAATTGTTGTTTCTGTCCCCATCCCCAGGCAGCCACTGACCTGCTGCCTGCCTATTTGTTTTTTCTAGACATTTCATATAAATGGAATAATAAAGTGTCTGGTGTTTTTCACTTACTATAATGTTTTTGAGATTCATCTATTTTGTGCCAGGACCATTACTTTATTCCTTTATATTACTGAAGATAATTTCTGTCCCATGGAAATGCTACACTTTCTTTATCCATTCACTGCTGATGGACATTTAGGTCAGTTCCATTTTTACTGTTATTAATGTTGCTGTCATAAACAAATGCTACACATAAGTGAATTTATTTTTCTTGGGTATATTCCTTGGAGGGGAATTTCTGAATCATATGCTAAGCTTTACTTTTTAAGAAATTGCTCAGCTGTCTTTCAAAGTGGCTACACCATTTGACATTCCCACCAGCAATGTATGAAGTTGCCAATTCTTCCACATCCTCACCAATACTTCCTATTTTCAACTTTTAAACTATAGCTATCCTAGTGGTGTATAATGGTAACTTGTGGTAGATTTAATTTGCATTTCCCTAGTGACCAGTGATCATGAGCACTTTTTTATGTACTTATTATCTAAAGGCACATTTTGAACTGAGACTAAGTGAAACTATGAATCCTTTAAGAAAGCACCAGAAATAATCTTAATGCTATTTTATTGTTATTAGCAAAAACAGTCACAGGAAGATTGTGTAGCTTAAATTATTGATCCATTCAACTCATGGATTCATTTGCATGACAGCTACTGAGAACTTAGATGTGCCTGGATCTGTGTTCCATTCTGGAGCTGGAATAGTGAGGAAGACAGAGCCCTGGCCTGTGAGTCTCTAGAATTACTAGCGATTAACAGGCAAGGACTGAAAAGGAACATCAAACAGGTAGACTTGAAGGGGTAGGGGCTGGGAGGGGGGAGAGAGAGGACCAAGCACAGTTTCTGTGTAACTGGCAAGTGAATGTAGCTCCATGTGGCTGAACAGCAGAGTGCTGCAGGGTTGGGGGAGTAAGAATGAAGCTAGAGGAGTAGAAAGGACCAAGATCAAGATGGGTGTAGCAGAAATCATCCGATGTCCTCTAGGGGTGGGAGTGATGATCAGGTTACCCTCTCAGAAGCTCTCTCAGCTCTTTGGGAAACAGACAAGTGGGGCAAGCTCTGGGCTTTCCTTTACAGAAGCTATATAAGGCTCACCTGGCCTTGAACTTCTCTCTCCCTGGGACCCAACAAGGTCACCTGCAGCACTGAGGATAACATTTGTCCTCCTGTCTTTGCCAGGTGCTACATCACTCTCACCCAGTCTCTGCACCTGACCATGAGTGGGGCTCCAGCAGGACCTGCAGGCACAGGCAAGACGGAGACAACCAAGGACCTGGGCCGAGCACTGGGCATCATGGTCTATGTGTTTAACTGCTCGGAGCAGATGGACTACAAGGTACAGATCCACCCAGGGTGGCAAAAGAGTAGGAACTCGGTGGTGGCTCAAGCACAGCATGAAGGTTATCCACACTGTGCTGGCCCAGCTCTTCCAGATCTCAAAGACATCTACTATCTCCTTCTTGGTAGTTCTCAGGATCTTTGAGCCCTAAACTTGTTCACCTTCCTGTAAACCTCTTACACGACAAGGAGGCACCAGCCCATGGAGTCTGACTCCACTGATGAACTTTGTGACTTATCTGTTACATGAAGAAGGTGAACACAGACCCAAAGCCCTAAATTTACCATTTGATCTAGAAGTATAGTAAGACTCATAAGTAGCTATATTAAAGATACTTGTCTTTGTGTAACAGCTACATTTGAGGTCCTCTGTAAAGTGGGCATTCCCTAGGATATTGTACAAGGGGAAGTGTGACTTCTAGAAAGAGATGAGATGAACTCTTACTCATTGCAAGAGATGCCCACAGAAGACAAGTGGAAAGCTAATGTGCTTCACTCAGACATTCAATTTTTTTTAAGAACTAAAGTAGTCCAGAGAAAAAAAAGGCCAGAGAAAAGCCAGAGAAAAGAAAGGCCTGTGGGATCATTTCTAATCTAGAAACATTCTCCTCACAACTGAATTTAGATTATTATTTTTGAAAATGTGTAATAACAGGTTGCCTCGTTTTCTTGTTATGTTTATTTTTATATTGTATGAGCTTTTTGTAAACAGCTTTACCTCACTTTTGTAAACAGGATAACATGTGAATTAGAGAAGAAAAATAAAAACAATTGGACTAAGTAGAGTAAATATATATATATATATATATATATATATATATATACACGTTGTGACGTATTAATTGTAAAATACACTTATGTAGAAATAATTTGCAGTTCAAAAGTTATAGACTCTTTAAATGACACTCATCTTGTATAACTGGAAAAATTTCTCTAGTAAATAACTTCTGTCCAAAGAGTTGTTGAGTTCTGTGGCACCGTATTTTCTCCTAGTAAGCAAACAAGAGGAGGATTCAGACCCAAAATAACTACCTTCCCTAAGGTCCACACCATCCCCTAAATTTTAGCACAGCTGCTTTCAGTGATGAACATGTTAAGATAATGTCTCTTTTTAAATCAGACTAGATCTTTTTCCTTTTAAAGAAATAAACTCAGCCTTAAGGATTATTTTAAGCTTATAGATCCTTCTGTAGTTGAACATTAGTGCATTGATACAAAAAGTCTAGTCTCCCGGGGAACATTCTGAAAGACACACTCACTTAGATGAAGTATTGATTGAAGAAAACCAGTGGGTTTCTTCAAAGTAATTCTTAGCATAGTAAACAGGGCGAGACAAGCTAGCCCCGTAGCCAGGGATCACTAAAGCTGTTTTACGAAATTTTTTCAAAACTAATCATTACACACCATGCCTACCAGTTCCTCTGAAAGGACGGGGTGGGACAAGGGTCTATCGTTAGCTCTTTTGAACAGTGAGTGGAGCTTTGGTCATTGAGTCTGGACCAGACACAGACTAGAGTGACATCAGTGGTTACAGTGGTAGTGACATACTCTATAACAAATGTGGTCCCTTCCCAGACACCAGATATCCCTAGTAACCAAACAATCTAATGAACCTGCTTGCAAATCTTCTTTCCCTTTGGTTGTCCAACTGTTCAGAAATTATTTTTCTTCATAAAATACTCCAGAAATCAAGTTAAGTTATTGGGTGTTGCCATTGCTCAGCATGCATTGGGCACTGTGGAAGGATACCAAAAATAGACAATGTTTCATTCTGCTAAATTTAAATTCACAGCTAGAGTTGCCCCAAAAGCTGGGACAGGGGAGTTCCCACAAGGGAGCATCCCAAACCATCCTAAGATGGGTAAGATGGGGCCGGTGGCTGAAATTCCAAAAAAAGAACTACGGATTGGAGTGTGGCTCAGTGGTATAGTGCTTACTCGGTGGGCACAAGGGCACAAAGCTCTGAGTTCCTTCCCCATCCAAAAAAGATGAGAGAGAGAGGGAGAGGGAAAGGGAGAGAGAGAGAGAATAAAAGCCAAGGTGATTAGTCCAAAGCATTTATTAGAGGAAATTACAGAATGCTGCAGCTTGTGCTGTGAATGAACAGCAAAAAGGGATGTTCTATCCCGGCATGTCTTCACCAAGGGGGTCAGGGTATGGAGTTTATATGAGAGGTTAAGGAATTTGGGCCCACATCGGGGACCAATTTCTTCCAGTGTTTTAACCAACTGGACACTTTTACCAATGCCTGGAAATGATTAAGGCTTAAGCCTGCTGGGAAAAATCTGTAAGTTGCTGAATCACAGAGCAGTCAAGGCACTCTGTAATCTTCAGCCAGGACACAAAAAGAAATCGAGGGGAAGATGGGGCACTAAATAGAGACAGATGGATGGGTAGATGATTGATAAATGGATTATAGCCAGATAAGGGATGACTAGTAGATAAAAAGTAGACAGATGAGAAGATAGAGGATAACTCAGTCTATCTGGAAGATTAAGTCACAAATGAAATAATTAAGGAAGCTAATTAGCACCCAGACAGAATGTCTCAGGCACCCAGATAGACTGAGTTATCCTCTATCTACTCATCTGTCTACTACCTATCTACTTCTTATTGATCTATTGTTTATCAATAATCTATCTATAATCTACTTAACATCTATCTGTCCATCATCTATTTATCTACTGTGTATTCTACAAACTCTTGGGCCCAGACTATTCCAGAACAGTGGGGCATCACAGGGGGTGCTGGTCAGGAAAGACATCGCAGAGTATGTGACACCAAAGGCTATTTGAGTTTGGGGGTATGGTATTTTAACAGAGTTTAAAGTTCTATGTGCAGCCAGGACCTCCGCCTTTAGCCTTCACTCTTGTTTCACCCCTGAACTCTCCTCAGAGAGCCTGACTGAGCCAGGAAAGGAAGGGAGTGAGGGTCAGGAAGAGCTCCCCTTTGTTTCTCCAGGGATCCTTTGGATGTGTCATTCCTGACATTCAAACCAATATGCTCTGTTCATGTCTCTCCAGGAGCAAAAGCTAGAAAGACATGGAAAACTGGTTGGCTATTTTAGGGAAGGTCAGAGAACAGAAGATAGGAGATGAGATCGAATAAGGAGGGGGTGGACTGAAAACCTCTAAGGATCTGACCTCGAAGTGGTAGGCTGCAAAATGACCTGCACTCTTCAGGGCAGGAGTGAAAGCATAAGAATGGCATTTAAGGAAGATGCCCTAGATGATCAGGTGAATTGGGACAGGAAGAGTAGAAGGAAGAAAAGTCTTCAGTGAGAACATTGCAGTCATTCAGAACACAAGGGTTGAGGATCCAGATGATGGGGCAATAAAATGGGGAACAAGAAAAGAAAAGGCTTTTTTAAACAAAAAGGTAAATGCTAACTAACCTAGGGAACATGAGAAGGTAGTGGGTGGAGAAGCAAACAAAGGAACTGAAAAAGGAGAGTGTGAACTGTAGTTGGGAATTCTCAAAACCTCTACCTTGTGAGTTCTATGAGGGACATCATTGCACTTAGCTGGATGAGGGCAGGAGGTTCAGGGAGAGCTGGGGTTGACCCAGAACAGTGTGAAGACAAGAAGAGACGGGATTGCTGCTGCACTCTGTTAGTGCTAGTTGGAAGACCCATAAAACCAGCTGCTCTCTCTGGAAATCATTGCAGTTTTAGTGCTGAGATGTTCTCTGCATTATAGCAGCAATCCCTTCCCCCTTGACCTCAATTTGGAGCGGCTATTGCAGAGACATCAAATAGTTTTGAACCTGAGAGTGTTTGGAATTATATTCTGAGTCTCTGAAATGCAGACTCCCTTGAGACTCCTGTCTCCCCATATTGCTTGAGATTCTAGACTCCCTTGGCTTCTGAAACATCATACTTGCACAATTCTCCTCCTAACTCTCTGATCTCTCAGCTTCTTGATCTCATTTGCTGATCCTCTTTTTAAAAAGTTTTCATTAGTGTATATTAATTTTACAGAATATTGGGTTTCCCTGGGGATTTCCATGCACGCACATAACATTCTTTGATCACATCCACCCCGTTACCCTCCGGTACACCCCTATGGATTCTTCTTAATAAAGTCCATTTTTAACTGACTGGACAGTGGATATCTCCAGGTGGAAGCCCTTGTCTCAACTTGTGATGAACACCTCCTTCCTCCCTGCCAGACCCTTCACCCCATGAGCAAGGGTCTTTTCACTTTCCCTGAGGTCCAGGTGGAAATCTGGGTCATCCTGAATGTTCCATGTCCTTCCTTCTCCAGCTTTCATCTGCCACCAACATCCAAGTCTCCCTGAGACATACTTCTAGCTTCCAGGCTTTCAACCCTGTCCTCTGCCCTGTCCTAGTCCACAAGCTCACACTCATGGCAAGGTAACACCTAGAGACATGCCTAGCTTGTAACACCAAGAGACATGTGGGGTAATCAAACAGGGTGATGTGGAGTCCTGGGGTTCTGCCACAGGCCCTCAGGGTAAATATGGAATGAAAAGGGTCAACCTATGGAGATTTTAATTTTTTAATTTAGATATTTGGATTTCATTATATAAAAGAGATCCACAACCATAAAAGCTTTCAAAGCCACTGTTAAGCATGGATTTTGATTCCTGAATTTCTGCTTAGCATATATAACAGTTTGAAAGCTGACTAGGCAGATGTATAGATAGAAGAGAGAGAGAGTGTGTGTGCAAGAGAGAGGCGGAGGAGAGAGAGAGGAGGGAAGAAAGATAATAGGTGGATGGATAGATAGATATTCGGTGAAATAAATTTTGCAAAGTGCTATTGTACTACCATCTGATATTTACCTATTTGGCAAAAATTGACCACTCTAGAGCACTTTGACCCACTCCTCCCTGAACTCCACAATTGTAGTTTCTAGTATCCATTGGAACCAGTGCTCATGTAACAACTTTCCTCTTTGATTTCTATACCTTATCTCCACAGTATAATTAAAAGTTCTTAAAGGAGCTGGCCTCCCCTATATCTAGCACATGATCTTTGCACAGAGCTGAGAGGGAAAAAAATGCCTATAGTGTAAATGAATGGGATTTCCACTATTCACATTTTTCCAGCATTTTAGTCATGTCACCTTGCCAATGACCTTGAAAGCATCTCCCAAAAACCTGTTCTTTCATAGTTTAGTTTACTAGTCCACATAGTCCACATTAAGTTCCAAAATAGCTTTTATTTTTAGAACAGAAATACCCTCTTCCTTTTGAAATTCATTTTTCACTCTCATCTGAAAAGATTTACCTGTAATTTATTTTCTGTAGATGTTATCACCTTCCATCCCCATCTCCGCTTCCCATCACTCCAGGAAACCTGGGTAGTTGGGTATGGATTTAAAGATACAGACATAAACCTTTCCATCATGCACGCCAAACACTGAGTGGAAGGCTTTTTGTCTGTATGGTGAAAGAAAATCATCTTTTATTCACTTCCTGGGATTTTGAAAGCTACAGAATCAACAGTAATGCAACCCTAATGACATTTTAAAGGAATTTTCACTCAAGTGTTTTGAAAAGGTTGTGTTTGATTCTGTGACATGTTGGCACCCCCATCACCATCAAAAATTTAATTCTTCTTGAAATTTTAATACAAGTCTCTGACTGGGAATCTTTAGGGGACTGGAAGAATCTTTAATAGAGAGGATGAAAAATGACTTTGGACATGTATTGATAAGCCCAGTGCTTTTGGTAATTTAATCCTTGTACATTTCGTTGCAGTCTTGTGGAAACATCTACAAAGGCCTTGCTCAGACCGGTGCCTGGGGCTGCTTTGATGAGTTTAATCGAATCTCTGTGGAGGTCTTGTCTGTAGTGGCAGTGCAGGTATGTGGGGCAGGAGTTGGTGGAAGCCTCATGGTGTTCATGTGGAGCACTGCAAAAGTTCATGGCCTCTTGTTTCCAGCCTTTCCTCAGAACCCTTTCCCTTTCCACCTTGCCATTTCCTTACCCTTCCTCCTTCCTCCAAAATCAGGTCTGAGGGAGGCTCTTCTAATTTCCCACTAAAAGACATTCGTTTACTGGCTATGAGGCTGTTTTCCTTCCCTGTAATAAGGGGATTAAAGATCTATCCTGCCTGTTTCATACAGATGCAGAGAGAATAAAGACCAGAATGGCAGAGCCAGCTTCTTAGAGAGATCACACATTCTGGAAACGAACCAGGGCTTAGCTTTGAGCTCTCCCATTTCCTAAGTCTTTGAGCAAGTTGCTCCATCTCTCTCAGCCACTTTCTTCTATGATCTTTAGTTTCTGTATATAGATAGTGCGTATAATAACAGGGCTGTTGTGGAAATATGAGAGATGATAAATGAAAAGTGCACAGCATCAGTATTGTTGAATGAAACCCCTTTTTAGGTTGGGTTTTATGTAAGCATACCACTGGCATTCCAAGTCATGAGAAAGCATGCATCGCACAGCTACAGTACAGTAAGCACTGTCCTAATGACCAAGGTGAGGGTGCCCCACAGAATAGGACATGACTCCTAACTTTAAAAAAAAACTTGAGCTCTTGAGATGGACCTGAGCACTTTCAACAGCTTTTAAAAGTGATTTGAATTCTGACTCACAGTGTAAAACAAGACTTCCAAATTCATTAGACTTTCAAATTCATTATCTTGAAGTCAGTCTTTGAAAGGATGGAGAGGATTTGAGTTTGGGAAAGACTGCACAGTCAGTGGCAGCAATAGAAGAAAGGAAGGCAAAAGATAAATAAGCCTTTGTTAAAAGTCTCTTCCAGAAGAAACTCTTCCAGCCATTTTTCATTCATCACCTCTTGTATTTCCACAACACCCTCACTACCTTATACCATCAATATGGAGCAACTGAAAATCAGAGAAAAAAGTAACTTGTCCAAGGGCACCGATACACAGTGGCAAGGTTAGGATTTGAACCCAGCACCTGACCCACATCACACAAGTGCAGATCTGCACACAGTGGTATCTGTGAGAGGAGATGTGAGAGGAGAAAATAACCTGGAGACATACACTCCAACCAAGGAGGGGACAGACTTGGATGACCTCTGCAGTAGGAGGCAGGATTTCTGAGAATGAACTGTTTCTAAGAAGAGCCGTTGGTATGTAATATATAATACAGGTAATGTGGAGCTCTTCCCTAGGCTCCAGGGATGAGATAAGTTTCCCCTTTCCTTGAGTTTTCTCTGTTAGTAGGACTTAATAGTGGAAGGAGGACAAGCACTCCTTTGGACTGAAACCCTGATCTAGCTTAGCCAGGAAGAGCTGTTTGTGTTCATCTCAGTGGTGTCACATAGGCATAGCTTGACTTGGGAAGGGTGGGAGTATTTCCACCATTAAACCTGACAGTTCTACATATCAAGGGCATTTTTATTTTCCTAGAGACCCAGTTGTTAAACATTTACCAGCACACCTCTTCTTTGCAAGGCTGTCAGCTTGGTGTTGTCAGATCTTCTAAATATTAAAGAGAAGCTAAACATTCAGATATTATAAGAAATTATATCAGTACATTTTCTATTACAATGAAATATCTGAGGCTAGATAGCTTTATAAAGAAGGGATGTTTATTTAGCTCATAGACCCGGAGGCTTAAAGACCTGCAAAGGGTGGTGGCCTTCAGGCTGGCAGAGTCCCACAGCAATACAAGACATCACAAGGTGAGACGGGGAGTGTGCATGTGTGTTCTGATCTCACCCTCTCTTCATAAAACCATCAAAATTCAGTCACAAAGACTCCACCCTGATGGCTTTATCTGATCCGAATCACCTCCCAAAGGCCCCACTCTAATACCATGGTTGGATTAAGTTTCCACCTTCTGGATACCTCACAGCAGGAACACTGAAGCCATGAGGCACACTCTGAAACCATATGCAAGTCAGAGCAGAAATCAAACATGTTTTCTGGCTATTTTTGCCACTGAGGGAGCCTGGAACCAAGAATGATGCCTTCTTAGGTCTGTTTGAATTTTGAGTATCTATCCATTCTGAGGTATAAGATGCAGAATAAGCAAGTAAAACAAACTAGTAGTTGTACCCAGCGAGAAAGAACCAACCAGAGACCGATATTAAATCCACACAGGAGTTTATTACTGGCTGGGACCCGAGCCAAGCATCAGACTCGAGCCCCGACTGAGGGGCGACTAACATGTTTTATACACCTTTGAGGCCAACAGTTTCTAGGCCTCCCTATGGGCTAGAACTAGCAAAGCAAGGGAAAGGTACAGAAGCGGAACGTCCTGCCATTAGAACATTTATAAAACAATAGTTGATTAATTGTTGTTTCTAAAAGACATTCTAAGGGGAGGAGGTTTCTAAGCTTCCTCCTTTTGAGTTCATGTAAAGGGCAGGCAGGTGGGTCGTTCAGCAGCAATATGGAGTCTGTCTTGCTAACTAGGGTCCTTCAGTAGTAAGATTAGTATTTCTAGGAATACTAATTCTAGCATGTGAATGGTTCTGAAAATTGGAAGAGATTTTCAGGGCTTTCCCCACCAACACGGTTAAGAATGATCTTGTATATATACTTGGAATTTTTGTTTTATCTTTTTATTTCTTTATCTACTCTCCTCTGTTATTTCCCCTCACCTTTGTGTCTAAATCTTTCATCTTTGCATTTATGATTTTCTGCACCCTTTCCTCTTGTTGCTTGCCACAGATTTTGATGGACAATCTCCTGTTTGCCCAGCCAGGTTGCACTGCTGTGCCTGCTTTCACATCAGTCCAAGACCGTCCATTCGGCACAACTGTACCTGTGGGTGTCCAAGGGTGATGTGCATGGATAGGAGGTTGCCAAAGGCTGTCTTAATGTATCCTGCCCACTAAGGAGCCTCTTCTCAGTGTGCTTCCACAAGGAGCCCAGAGAAAGAGCAGAAAAGGGGGCAGTGAAAGCCAGACCAGGGCAAAATGGAGCCTACCTTGGGCTCCAGAACTTGGGCGAGCAATGTGATTTTTCAAGTGGTTTTTTATGTACTTTGGTTAGTCTGGCAACAAGGTAGAAAGTGGTTCAATATGTAGGTTCTGAAAGCAGACTCCCAGTGTTCAGTTCTGGCACTGCCACTTACTAGCTGTGTGACCTTAGGCAAGTCTGTGTTTTAAGTTCCTCACAGACAAACGAAGTTAACAATACTACCTACTTAAAGTAGTTGAAATGATTTCTAAATAATTTAGAGTCGAAATCATGCACAACAAGGTCTTACAGATAGTAGATACTCAATACCTGTGATGATGATGATAACAATAGTGGTGGTAGTGATATTAGTGGTGACATTAGTGATGATGGTGTTGGTTGTGATGATAATGAAGGTGGTGCTGATGAAGGTCACTGTGTTAGTTACTTTTCTTTTGTTGCTAAGACAAAAATACCTGACACCCAAAGTTGGAAGGGAAGAGGTTTATTTGGCTTACAGTTTGTAGAGGCTGGCTCCAAAGCAGGATGGATGGCAGACAGGCATCACAGAGGAGAAACAACATGATGCCCACATGGTAGCAAAAGCAACAAGAGGGCTTAACAGCATCTTTCTGCCCCTTTTATTCAAACTACTGGGATTAGGGTGGTGCCAAACTAATCACTCACATGCAGTAGTTTAGTAATCACACACCCTTAACCCCAGCATCAGACATTCCGTATTCAACCCCCTCTGAAAAAGAAAGTCCCACTTCATCTGTTTGAGGTTTGTGGGGACATAAAAACACAAACTCTAACACCATCATGGTAGTGATGATGGTGGCGATCATGACGATGAAGGTGGTGATGATGATGGCAAAGTGATGAAGATTATTACTATCATTATTATCTTACCGCTCAGAAAATGGTTTAAGAGAAGTAGATTGTTGAGACACTTGGGCAGGAATCAAGGGTCCACACCCAAGTCTCATAGGTCTCTTCTACACCCTCACTTGTTCTCAGCTAGACCAACCTCAAGCTGTCTTACCAAACTTCACAGTGCACTAATGGAACAGTGCCCAACAGCCATTGTCCCTTTTCCTTACTAGACAGGCAATGAGTTTGCCTTATTTAGAAACTGCCCAACAGAGATCAGTAATGGGTCCTCTAAGATTAATCCATGCCCTTTTGTGTCTGGAATTCAGTGAAATACGTTCAACCTGGGATTCCCTGATGCTGTCTCTTGGGTCTGGAGCATGCCCATAGAAGATATTCTGAAGAAAGTGGTCTGACAACAGCTCAGGCAAAATCCGAGCTGGTAACATTTAAAATCGTACACCCATCCAAGGAGAAAATTGCACTTAATTATTCACACAGTCATCCAGGCTGGCATATTGGTTCAGAAACCGCACCAGCTGCCACCCTCCCCTCTCCCTCTCTCCTCTCCTCACCCGGCTGTGCTCCTCATCCCAGTAACGTCTGCAAAACTGATTATGCTTCAGTGTCTTTGCTGCTAGATATTTTCACATCTCTGTAAAATTGGTCAAGCAGAATTGCATATCCATTTGGGAAAAGCCTCAGTGTGGCAATTCCAAGAGAAATTGCACTGCTATTTTTAAAATGTATATGATACTACTTAATTCTTTTCAGACTCTCTTCATTACTGTGGCAATCAGCTCTCTAGACCTTGGATTAACTGAGCCTGAGGACACATGCTCCTGGAACACATCCCATCACCCCGTACCTGCAAACCCTTGTGCCCCTCCATGCTCTCTGGCCAAGTGTTCCTGACACTTCCTCCTCTCCTCTATGGTACTAGCACTAACAGTGGGATGGGTAAAAGCTGGAAGCAGAAGACCAGTTAGCAAGGGAACACACAGTAGCAGGGTTTCTAGTACTTCAGGCACTAAACAAATGCTCAAATATCAGAGCCAAGGGAATGTCCCAAGAAGCACTGAAGAGCTTAAGGCCTAATGTAAAAAACACACAAATATGGAAAAGTTTACAAAGTGGTGAGTGGGTTGTACTTCCTTAAGGCAACAGACTCCAAACTGCCATTGCAGAAGGAAACATGGAGTGAGCCAAGCAGGATTTTAATGACATGTGGCATTTGGAGCAAAGACCTCCAAAATCAATGACCACAGAATAGGGCACTCTGCTCGAATGAAAAGGGTAAAGTTAGAGGGGCATCAAGGAAAAGCTGCGCTCATTCACTAAGGCTAGCCCATGACCTCTTTATATTACATCACTTGCAGAAAGATAAGACAAATTAAATGCTTCATTAAATGCATCGGATGATAGGCCCTGACCCGAGTAGAAGGATACAGGGACGGGGAAGCTGCAGCTTTCAGTCTCAAGGGAGAAATCAAGCCCTGATGGTCAGACAAGTACATGAGCTTGTGCTTTGGATAACAGAACTGACCCTGTGAAATAGGACTGGCCTGCTGAAGCCAAATATTACTGTTAGCAAGTTTCCTTGTGGTTCTCATGCAAAATAAACTGAAGACAGCCAGCCATCACAACCTGGGCACATTTCAGAATTGCCTGGATGGTTCTGAAAGGGAAATGCACAATCTCCATCCTGAAAAGATTCTGATTTAATTGGTCTAGGATTGGACCTTGGTACTGGTATTCTTAAAAACAAACTTTCCACATGGTTTGAACGTGAAACATTCAGCAAACTTTGAGGACCAGAGCTGAGAGGGATACTGTCAAGTAAGAAAACATCCTGGTGGACCATTGTCTGTGTCAGCTTTTCCATCACTAGGACAAAATACAAGACACAACTTAAAGGAGGAGACTTTTAATTTGTCTCCCAATTCAGGGGATTCAGTCCATGGTCTACAGGCTCCAAGGCAGAAGCTCATGCCAGAAGGGTGTGGTGGAACAAAGCTGCTCAATTCATGATGGCAGAAAGCAGAGCAGGGGAACAGCACCAGAGAGGAAGGGGCAAGAGACCCCAAGGCCATGACTCACCCAGAAACACCGAGTTATGCTCCACCAATCCTCTGGGTGGATCCCAAAGCCAATCAAGTTGAAATTCTGCCCTAGCCACCACAACTATAAATTTGGGTTCACATCAAGACCCTCAAGACAGATTTCAGTTGGTCCTGACTAGTTAGCTGCAGGGGCAAGACCTCAAACCAGATAGAGCCAAAGGAAATGGAGAAAAAGGAAGTCAGTGTGCAGTTATGGATGAAGACACGTGGACAGAAGTAGGCACGAGTAAAAATCTAAGAACTGACTGGACTTCAGTGACTCTCAAACTTGCATCAGAATCACCTGGAGGACTTTTTAAGTTACATCTGTTGGACACCCTCTCCCCACCCAGGATTTCTGATTTGGTCAATCTGGGATGAAGTTAAGAATTTGCAAGGTGGCTGGGGATGTAGCTTAGTGGTAGACCACTTGCCTAGTGTGTATAAGGCTCTGGGTTAAATTGCCAGCACCGCAGAAAACAAACAAAGTGAATTTTCACAGGAATTTGACCTAGGGACATATGTTGTGGGATGGGGGACAAGTCATGGATATCTTATTGGTCTCAGTTTCCTTATTGGTAAAATATGTGGTCTAGATCCAAATTTCCCAACCGCAGCACAATTGATGTTTTGGGCTGACAACTTTCTGTCACAAAGATCCATCCTGGCCATTATAGGATGTCTACACACTCGATGCCAGGAACATCCGCCCTCCTAATTATGACAATAATTAGACATGTTCAAACGTACCCTGGGGAAATGGGGTGCAAAGTGACTCCCTGTTGAGAATATTAGTTTCTGCATAGCTTTCTTCTTTTTTTTTTTTTTAATGGGTAATGAAAACATCTTTTCTTGTTTTGGAGAAAATATATGCCTAAATTATAGCATGATTATTTTCAGATCAAAACAAATTAGTCCGAAAATGTGTACATGGTCTTGCTCCACATAATGATATTTCAGAGTATGACAGACTATCCCCTAAGATTATATCACTTAGAGTGATAGTTAATCTTGATTGTCAATTTGATTGGCTTGAGAGATGCCAAAGAGATTAATAAAGTGCACATTTGGGTGTGTCTAGGGAGGGGGCTGGGGTATGACCTTAGAGATTGTATCTGGTGTTTGGTGCCTTCCTCTCTGGCTCCTCCCTATTCTCTGAAAACTGGATGCCATGAGTTGAGCAGCTTTCCTCTGTCATGTCCTTCTGTCATGATGTTTACTTCAGCCAGCATACCATGGACTAAACCCTCTGAAACTGTGAGCCAAAATAAACCTCACAGGGGAAATGGCCCAAATCATGTGCTTTGGCACCAGACTGACTGGTTTTAGACTTTGCTTGCTCCACTTACCAACTGTTGGATATCAGCAAATCTTTTCTTCTGTTAACTTTTTATTTAGAACCAATTTTATATTTATGGAACAGTTTCGATAATAATGCAGAGTTCCCATATATGCTTTCATCTTACATAAATGTAGGACTGCTTATCTGCCTCTGCCTCAGTTTCCATCTCTATAAAATAAAGATGTAAGATCACTCACCTCAAGCAGCTGTTTAAAGAGTTGAGTGGAATAATTATGTAAAATATTCAGAATACCAGCTGGTACTAATCAAGTGGTCAAAAAAGTCAGTAATGATTTTCTGTCATTCCCTGTGGCTTAAAATTCTCCAAAAACAGTAAGTAAAGAAACAGCCCCTCATGAGTGTGGAGTATACTTGGTAGCTATGGCTGTCAGTGCCTACCTATGTGTGTACCTCCACATGGGTGGGATTCAATAATCCTTACCTTCCCAAGCTGCCTGCTTTTCCCCCTACATCCTGAAACCTCTGGACTTTTCCAAGGCTTGGATTTTATCCGAGCCACCAGGACTCTGATCACTATCATATTCCAATTGATGTCCGAAGAGAACCAGCAAAGCTTTCCCATTCCTGCGTTAGCCAGGCTAAGGGCAACATCTGTGAGCACCAATGCTCCAACAGAAACTGCATCTTCCAGTCTGTTCAGGTCTCTCCCTCAAGGGCCCCTCTACAGAATTTTACACAAAAGCACAGATGCCTTCTATCCAAAAGTGGATCGTAAATTCTTGCTGAGCATGAGTTTTCTGAGCTTTGGTGTTTGGGGAGGGAATGCTGAGTCAGAACGAGCAGCAGAAAGGGGCCTGGGCTCTCACCTTAACCTTTGCCCAAAGGTAGCAGAGCAATTTGTAAATGTTAATTCAATTCTTTCCCCACTCCCTAGCCAGAAAAGTGCTTTGTATATTTTACAAACACAAGGACTGAGTACAAAAGAGAGAATAAGCCCTTACCAGCCACCTACCTACCTTGCAGAGTGATGAAAGCAGCAAAGGGCTGGCTCCATGACAGAGCTGAACTGGACTGTAAGCCCCATGCACACTATGGAGGTTAATCTGTTGGGCCAGGTTACTGGGTGATGGAGGCTGCTTCTGCCAGGATTCCATTGGTATTCTGCACGTAGAAATGAAGTTTCAGTCTCCCACTAATTGCTACGAGCTCAAATGCATTCAGTCATTAGAGCTTTGCTTTAGGATGGGAGCTGAATCCTAATTGCAAAGCTGTCATGCATGCTGGCAAACACTGCCCTTCCAAGCACTGAAGATAGCCAGGCCCAGTGTAGATGGTCCACCTGTCTCTCTGTTTGTCTGTTTGTCTGTCTGTCTCTCTCTCTCTCTCTACACACACACACACACACACACACACACACACACCCTGTGGCCCCATCTCTATGGAACTAGGTTACCCTTGACCTTTCTAGCAGCAGCCTAGACTTCCAGCTATGCTCGAAGATCATTTAAAGCCTTGTGCTGGTCCCAGCTTTCAAGACGAAAACCCTAAGAGACTAGAAAACCCTAGAATACTGTGGGGCCTGGCTGAAAAGCTATCCTACCACTAGCTGTGTGCCTTTTGTCTTCCTCCTCTTTTGCTGCTGATCATTTTTGGACATGTGCTTCAAAGGACCAGATATGAGAATATAAGCAGTTAAGTTTCATTTGTCCCTCTCTTCCCACTAAGTGATCTCTAACATGGTTCTGACCAGGTCAAGCTTTGGTTTAAATACTCCTCTGACTCCAGATTGCAGTTAAGAAAAAAATTGAGTTGCTTTAGAAAGAGATTCACAATTCTTTGGGATTGGCCCCAAGTTATCTTCACACATGCTTCTTGCCATTCCTCACATGGACTGGACACACTCTATCCACTGTCTGCCCATTCTCATGCAGTCATTCTACAGATCCAGGCTGGGCAGGGGCAGTGAGGAGTTCAACCATGACAAAGACCACAAAAGCAGTGATGATGGTTGCACTGACAGTTTCCATGTGTGTTGCTACTACGAATTTTTATGCACCAAATTCTTTATAGACTTTAATCCCTAGAACAAGATTAAATTTGATTGGTTTGGAGTGGATTAGATGATTTGATTAGATTAGATTGGAATTCTTACCCTTAGTTGATCTGTAACTGTGGACAAATTACCTCTTCATGATTCTTTTTCATTATAGAAAAACAGGACTGATGGGATTAAAGAGTTCTTCCAAGGACTGTGATGAGACTCAAATGAATTAATACACAGAAAATGATCAGAACAGTGCCTGGCACATGGTCAGCCCTAACTCACCTTAGTGAGTACTGCAGCGGAAGCCTGTGTTCAGAGTCTGTACCTGTTCACTTCTCAGTCCTGTCTCAAAACCATGATGTCATAAATAGGGATGTAGACATCCAGATTTCTTTAGAATGCACCCATGCCATCAGCAAAGTGTGCAGGGTGGTCACCATGCCTGTGCTTCGTGAAAGGGGCCACAGGAAAATTGCTTGTGTTGAGTGTGACTCTGAGTGCCCAGGGGTAGTTAAGACACATGCTGAAGAGGTATTTTCTGCTGACTGGTCCAACAGGTTAAAAGCATCCAAGATGCGATTAGAGATAAGAAGCAGCAGTTCAACTTCCTGGGGGAGGAGATTAAGCTGAATCTTTCTGTGGGCATCTTCATCACTATGAACCCAGGCTACGCTGGCCGTGCAGAGCTGCCTGAAAACCTCAAGGCTCTATTCAGGTGAGCCCCACATGATGGCCTCCAAAGAGAGGTTTCTTTTATCCCTGTGTTACAAATGTGTGATATATACATTAGTGAAAATTTGGAATTTACAGAAAAGTAGATTTTTTTAAACCACCTATAATGCCATCAAATATAAAATTGTTTCTTGTTTATTTTTTGATATATATCTTTTTTTAAAATTTTATATCCTTGTAGTCTATATTTGCAGTCTATTTTTTTTAATTTTTGGTTTCCTAGTCTACTATAAATATTTTGTTCTATTAGATATTTTTTAATAAATCTCATTTAATGACTATATTTTTCTGTCAAGTGCACAGTCTGCAATGTAATGAAGTAGTCCCTCTTGGTTGAATATTAAAACTGTTTCTAACATTTAAAATTAATTCATACAGAGTGCTGTAATGTACATTTTTGTATATAAGTGGTTTTTTCCATATGCATGATTATTTTGTTTGGCTAGTTTCCCAGAAGTGGAATTACTAGTTAACAATTAGGAACATTTTTAAGGCTCTTCGTACACACTGCCAAATTACTTTCTAAAAACTGTAGTACCAAATTACACTCATAGCAGCAATGCACAGGAACACCTACCTCTTTTATTTCACCCTTGCCTCCCATGCATATTGCTATGTTTTTAAATCTTCTTTACTTTTAAAATTTTTATTGGTACATGCTTGTAGTACATTATGCTTACATCCAGTTGGTACGTGTACGTGACATTTCTCAATTCCTTTTTTAATCTCCCTCACATACCTCTTCATTTTGATAAGAAGACACATATGTGTTTCCTAGCAGAAACCAGACTATACATTCTTTTTTCTGCTAAGTGAAGTAGGCCTAACAAAGAGAACTCTGAAAGATGTATGCCACCTTCTGATTTTCTGCTTATTAAACTTTTACTTAAAAGACATAGATTGTGAGGAGCTGTGACAAAGCTGTTGTCTCATTTTTGACTGAGACACTGGTGGTCTCTGTTTATGGAGGTGGCATGAAGGCTTGCGTGGGCTTGTAGCGTCCTTAGAGGGCAGCCGCCTGCATAGTTTAGTCCCTCACTTTTAAACCACCCCAGTCGTGGCAAGTTCCCAGGTCCCACAAGTAGCATGGGTGTCTCCTTGTTCAGGCAGGTCCTGCTTTAAACAAGAAGTGTTCAAACATTAACAAGCTGTCTAAACTGCCAAAGAATACTGCATTATTTGCTATTTACACAAAAGTAAGCTTTGAGTGACAAACAATAATACGGGTAGGTTATCACCCAGATAAGAATTATCTCTTCAAGTTTTTTCCCCTACATTTAAAAAGAATTGTTAGTCCATTCAGGTTGACATAACAAAACACCATAAACTAGGTATCCTAAACAGCAGGAATTTATTTCTCACAGTTTTAGAAGCCAAAAGTCTAAGATCAAGGTACTGGTACTTAAGATTCTGATGAAGACAACTTTCAGGTTGCTGATGAACAACTTCTCTTGTATCCTCATATGGCCAGAACCTGTGGAACAGGCTGATGGCTTTTTCTTATGAAGGCACTAATCCCATTAATGAAGGCTCCACCCTCAGGACCTCATTGTCACTGAAAGACCCCACCTCCAAAAGTCTTCACTAGGGTTAGGATTCCAATATACAAATTTAGGGAATATAGACTTTGAATCCAGTCACATATAGCCATATAAGATAATTTTGGGGAAGAGAAAAATGTTTTTTTAAACAATAAACACAGGGCCAGGGATTTAGCTCAGTGGCACCACACCTGCCTCACAAGCACAAGGTCCTGAGTTTGATCCTGGTACCAAAAATAATTAAATACAAAAATCTATTTTTACATTTAATTCTCACAAAGACTCTATGACGGAGGAACTACTAGTTTCCCCCCTTTTACAGTGAGAAAACAGATGGAGTCAGCAAATTATGCAAGGCAGTGACCCTGGTTACTGAAGTTAGTTAGCAGCCCAACTAGTAAATGTCAGAACTGGAGTGCAAACCCAGAGCCACTGCTCCTTCTTAGACTGGTCCAACCATCTGGAGATAATCAGTGTAACCACTCATCACTTTCCTCCCAATAGTGTGTGAACTGAGCATTTCTTCTTCAGAACTGGGATCTGGCTCTGTATTGTTTAGTATCCTGATTTCATTAATTAATGTTTTCTCATGCCATTTAATAGTTTTCCTTCTACAACAATGTTTTTCACAGCCACGTTGTATTCTGTTGAGTGTATACATGTAACCTAATGTTAAGGTTGCCAGGTAATTTTGAGAATCAAATTATTCGGCAGCTTCTTTGCAATTGACCACATTGCAAAATATTTCAAGGAGAAATATGGACATAAATGAAATGATTTTGAATTTTTATATAAGAATGGGGAAATGCATTTAAAATGTAATATTAGACTCCTGTTACATACCTAATAAATTAATTTTTAAAAAGTCACTTCAAAATCAAATGTGGCTAGTGCCAAAGGAGGGGAAAATCACAGTAAATCCTTAGATATAGAAAAAAATTCCTTCCTATATTCTTTTTTCCCCCTGTATTCTTATATATGCCATTTTGTGTCAAGATGGGATTAATAGGTACCACCTACCTTAGACATCAATTTTAGAAATTTACATTTGTATGTAAATAAACACAGAATAATACCTGAGTGTGTAGCATTTGGGGGAGATACACATCTTGCAGATAGGCTAGGGAAACTTTCAGTCTGTCACAGCCACCCAGAGAAACTCAGTTGCTCAATATTAGCTTCTAGTTTATTCTAGACAATTTGCTTTATTAATCCACAGCTTTTGTGCTTTTGTGAAGCACAGCCTCAAATTAAAAGATCTGATTTGGAGTTAGGACCCCAACCCTGCTCCATCTGCCAGCATCATCCATCACCTTGGGTAGGAGAGCGCACTTCCTTTATTCTTGTTGACTCATCTTGAAATTGAGAGCCTTTCAAAGAACACCTGAGAAATGTCATGAACACCAAACCAGCCCTCCAAACAATTCTAAACAATAACCTAGAAAAAGACAATGATGGTCACAACTCCATGAGGCCCAACAGAGGGAAGCCACCAGACAAGGTAAGAAACTAAAGGGAAAGGGGGAAAAATAAGAAATAAAGGAGCAAACAAAAGTAAAACATCATGACAAGGATGAGTCAATATCTATCAATTACATCCATCAATGTTAATGGCCTCAATTCACCATTCAAAAGAAACAGACTGGCAGAATGGATTAAGAAGCAAAATCCAACAATATGCTAAATACAAGAAACACACCTAACTCAAGAAGAAATTCATAGAATGAAAGTAAAAGGATGGAAAATAGTTTTCCATGCAACAGGAACCCAGAAAAAAGCAGGGGTAGCAATTTTATTTGCAGACAAAGTAGATTTCAAATCAAAACTAATTAAGAGAGGCAAAGATGGTCACTACATCCTTGTGAAGAGAACAATTCAAGAGGAAGAGATGACAATCTTAAATTCATATGCACCAAATAAGAATCCCCCCAACTATACAAAACAAATATTAATGGGCATGAAAAACCAAATAAGCACTAATACAATTGTAGTGGGGGACCTCAATACACCCCTATCACAGACAGATCATCTAGACAAAAAAGTAACAACAAAATTCTAGAACTGAACCAAGCTATTGAACAAATGGACTTAATAGATGTGTACAGAGTGTTCCACCCCACAAAATCAGAATATGGATTCTTTTTGGCTGAACACAGGTCATTCTCCAAAATAGACCACATTCTAGGGCCAGGGATTTAGCTGAGTGGTTCCACTGCCTGCCTCACATGCTAGCTCATAGGACATGTCTAAGTAAATGTAAAAGAATTGAAGTTACCCCCTGTATACCACAGTGCAATAAAATTGGAGATCAATAACATAAGAAACTGCAAAACCCCACAAACACATGGAAACTGAATAATACCCTCCTCAACAACCAATGGGTCACAGAGGAAATTAAAGAAGAAATTAGACAATTTCTACAAGTAAATGATAATGCTAGTACAACATACAGGAATCTATGGGACACAATGAGAGCAGTTCTACGTGGAAAATCATAATAGTGAATGCCCACATTAGGAAAACTGGGAGAACTCAAATAAATAACCTAATGCAGAACCTCAAGCTCCTAGAAAAAGAAGAGCATAACAAACCCAAAGCTTGCACAAGAGAGGAAATTATAAAGATTAGGACAGAAACCAATGCAATGGAGACTAAGAGAATGATACAAAACATCAATGAATTAGAGTTGGTTTCTCAAAAGAATAAATGAAATTAATAAACCTTTAGCCAACCTTATCCAAAAAAAGAAAGAAAAGACTCAAATCCATGCAATTAAGAACAAAAAAGGGGAAGTCACAACAGAACCAGCAGAAATCCAGAGGATCATCAATACCTACTTTGAGAACCTGTAGTCTAATACAATGGAAAACACAGAAGAAATGGACAGATTCCTAGATACATATGAATTGCCAAAGTTAAATGAAAAAGATATAGAAATTCTAAACACCCCAGTTAACAATGAATGAAATTGAAAATGTAATAATAAATTTACCAGCAAAGTAAAGCCCAGATCCTGATGGCTTCACTGCTGAATTCTACAAAACATTTAAATAAGAACCATCACCATTACTCTTTAAACTCATCAAGGAAATTGAAAGGGAAGCAATACTTCCAAATTCATTCCTGGAAGCAAGTGTTACTTTGATTCCAAAACCAGCGAAAGACCCAACCCAAAAAGAGAACTACAGGCCAGTCTCCCTAATGAACATAGATGAAAAAATCCTCAACAAGATACTGCCAAACAGAATTCAGAGGGTCATCAAGAAGATCATACATCCTGACCAAGTCGGATTTATCCCAGGGATGCAAGGATGGTTCAACATATGTAAATCAATGAATGTAATACACTATATTAACAGAGTTAAGGACAAAAAACATATGATCATCTCAATAGATGCAGAAAAAGCATTCAACAAAATCCAACACCCATTCATGATAAAAACCCTACAGAAAATTGGAATAGAAGGTCTTTATCTCAACCCGATTAAGGCTATGAAAACCCAACAGCCAATGGCATACTAAATGGTCAAAAACTGAAAACTTTCACACTAAAATCTGGAACAAGACAAGGATGTCCACTATCACCACTCCTGTTCAATATGGTTCTGGAAACATTACCTACAGCAATTAGAAAAGAGAAAGACATAAAAAGGAATAAAGATAGGAAAGGAAGAAATTAAACTGTTATTATTTGCTGATGATATGATACAGTACATAGAAGACCCAAAAAACTCCACCAAAAGACATCTAGACTTCATTGACAGATTCAGTAGAGTAGCTGGATACAAGGTCAACATTCAAAAACCAATGGCCTTCTTATACACAAATAACAGACTTACTGTGAAAGAAATTAGGGAAACAATTCCTTTTACAATAGCACCCAAAAAATGAAATATCTAGGAATCAATCTAACAAAAGAAGCAAAAGATCTATACAAAGAAAACTACAGCACTCTGAAGAAAGAGATCAAAGAGGATATAAGAAAATGGAAAGACATCCCTTGTTCCTGGGTAGGAAGAACCAATATAGTAAAAATGGCCATACTTCCAAAACTACTATCTAGATTTAATGCAATGCCAATTGAAATTCCAACAATATACTTCACAGAACTAGAGAAAACATTCCAAAAATTCATTTGGAACCAGAAGAAACCTAGAATAGCAAAAGCAATTCTAGGCAACAGAGACATGGCTGGACTTATCATAATTCCCAATTTGAAACTATACTACAAAGCTACTGTGACAAAAACAGCATGGTACTGGCAAAGAAACAGACCCAAGGAACAGTGGAATAGATTAGAAGATGCAGAAACAACTTCAGACATACTCAGCCACCTCATCTTTGACAAAGGAGCCAACCATCCTCATTGGAGGAAAAATAGCCTGTTTAATAAACAGTGTTTGAAAAACTGGATTTTAACCTACCAAAGATTAAAACTAGACCCATATCTATCAGCATGCACTAAACTAAAATCAAAGTGGATTAAAGATGTAAATATTAAAACAGAAACACTAAACCTTCTGGCAGATAAGTTAGGTAGAACTCTGAAAGATATTGGCCTAGGAAAAGACTTTATGAACAAAACCTCAGTAACATGGGAACTAGCACAAAGAATCAACAACTAGGATCTCGTCTTATAAAAAAGCTTCTGCACTTCAAGAGAAACCACCAACAGAGCTAAGAGACAATATACAAGCTGGGAAACAATTTTAGCAGCTGTAACTCAGACAAAGGACTACTATCTAGAGTATATAAAGAACTGAAAAAATCAGACCCCCCAAATTCAAAGACCCAATTCAAAAATGGGCATCTGAAATGAACAGACATTTCTCAGACAAAGAAGTAAAAG